GCCTCAGACGACTCAAACTAAACTGAGGCTTTTCTACTGACACAAAGCAGACTTTCTTGGTACCGCAGGGTGCCCTCGCGTAAACAAACTCGACACCAGTGGATCCCTGTTCTGTAGTTATGGTGAACTGGTGGCTCCATGCAGCATCAGCAGCAGCAGCAGCTGGTTTAGGTCTGACCTGCAGTGTGTAAGCTCATGTGATGCAGACTAAACAGTAGGGGAGAGGGAGGCAGGTCAGGGAGTCAGGGCGGCTTACAGGAGGAGGAGGAAAAAAGAAAAAAGTGGGTCACTTCTCATTGACAGATCTGCTGAAATGTGACGCCTCAATAAGTCGGCAGTTGTGATTTTTTAACTATGAAGTATTAATTAATCCCTGCCAGAGAAAGCACAGTGTAAGTATTTCTGGCTGCACGCTGCAAATCCCACACTTCTTTCTGCAGAGTCGGAGGTCCGGCGGTTTTACGGTTTTTGCCATTTTTCACACAGTGCACTTCAGATGGAAAGGAACGGTGCAGCGATTACGCATGTTTTCAGTTTCCCCTTGTTTTCAGACGCGTGTCAGTCATGCTGCCTCATTCACATCATCATCATCATCATCATCATCATCCCACACCACAGCACAGCTCCACCAGCTCTCTACTTTCTGTGCTTATTGTTCAAACACTCTCTCTAAGCTGCCTTTGTATTCTGCTTCCATCCTTCTTCTGATGAAACTTCAGTATGTTCCTACTTGTAGATCTTATCCTGCTTTTACTGAATCTCTCTGCTGTCTCTTTCTCCGACAGTTTTTCTTCCATTCTGCCACTTTTCCCCTCATCTGTCTTACTTGGCTTTCCTTATTTTTAACCTAACTTCCCTGTTCCACTGTGTTTTCTCCTCTCTTTGCTTCCCTCGCAGTCTGAGGCAATAATGACTGGTCCTGTCATCTGGTCAGTAAAAGTGTCTGAAATGGGTTTATGCTGGTGAATCATATCACAGCTGTTGGACGAGAAACTTTTCAGCAAATAACAAAAAAAAAAAAAAACTACGTCGACATTGGCTTCACTAACAGGAAAGAAACTGATTATGTAACTGAAGTTAAAGCCCATCCCTAAAATTGGATTTGCAAGGTTTTCACCTGATAACAGTGATATGTGCCCTGCAGTGGTGTCTAATTATTCAAAAAACAAATTACACTCTGGGTGGTTTGTATATTAGCTGATAAGGAGGGCAATGTTAAATTGCCACATTTTGCAATGGAGTCTGGTGTGATGTGTGCTCGAGCACAAAGAGAGAGAAAGAAAAGAGAGAGAGAGAGAAAGTGGCACATATCAGGGATGAAGCTAAGACAGCTCCCATTGTAGCGAATCAAAGCACCGCTAATTGGTACAATTATAGAGACAGGACAGAGCTATGTGTGCGAGGAAGAAATTCACACATAGGAATCACATTAGGAAGCAGAAGCAGATGAGTGCGCTTCAAAGTAACAAAATAAATTAGTTACACGTGTAGTTTATGTGATGTAGCTTCAATTAAGTGAGTTAAACTCTATCTGGCAAAGAGAGATCAGTTCACAAGTAGATGGAAGAAGAGAAATCCTTTGAAGTAAAAGCGCTGGAAGGATGAATAATTTATATCACATTTACAGGATAATGCAGTTTGAACCTCTCTCAGCATTTATTTGCATTAGTGCTTATTACACATACTCATTCATCCCTGATTGCTTTGTACGATCTGACAAAAACTACCGAAAGTGCTGTTGCCCTCGTGAGCGTTGCGTCAGTGCAGGAATGGGCGCGACGAACTAAGGTGGAGCAAAATGATGATGGTGGTGCAACGGAGGTCTGAGCCGGAGTGATGAGAAAAACAAACAGTGTGACGAAGAGACGGCACGTCTATAAATCTCTTTTTAATACCCTGCAGTCATGTTGTTTCCCCTTACAACAATAACTCACCAACAATCCAATAGTCGCTTCTCATAGGAAGGCCTGTTAGACAAAGTCATTACCGAGGAACCCAGAGGATTTTTTCACGGCCAAACACACACACACACTCATAAACACGCAGAACAGATTTATGCGATACACTCGCTCGCACACAAGACGCACTGAGCAGACACCGCAAAAAACAACAACAACAACAGCCAAATGTGATACAATGTCTGCTCTTCAGCTGACCACATAGTCATGGTTTGCCACTCACACACACACTCACACACACAGACGCAGACAGCAATCATGACTTCATTCTCACCATTCGAGTCATCTGTGGGGCAGACGAGCCGATTCAATCCAAAACCGATACCGAGCGCAGCTGCCACACAGACGCACAGACTGTAATCATACCCTGTTTGCCCACTCTGCATCAAAGAGAGCGCGCCTGGGGCTATTTACTTCACCTCTGACTGAAATCTTGAGATATTACTCTCACCGCAGTCTTTGTTTCAGATTCAGAGCTTCAACTGGACTGCTAATAACCCGAAAAGACCTCTCAGCAATGAGCGTTTGAGTGAAATGTGAAGCCAAAAGTATTGTTTTAGATTCGGTGGTCCGAGCGGATTTCCCCCACCTGAGGCCTCGCTCAATAAAGCCTTTGTCTCCATCTGTCTGCACACACACATACACATGTGATTTCATTTACTTTGGGAGTTTTACAATGTGTCGCTGTATAGTAAAATACCTGTTTAGAGTGATTTCTAACAGGAGGCAACAGTTTGCACGTCCGTTTACACCAGTTGTTTAGAGCAGATTAATTTTACTGTACCCCTCTCTGGTGTGACCAAACCTTTAGTCTTTTTAATTCGGTTTGCTCCCAAAAATGTGTATTTTTTATTTTTTTTTAATTTCTTGCCGTCTCTGTGTCTGTCTCACATCCCCGCTTGCCCATCAGGATGAGCCTTTCAACCTTCACTCTCCTCCCTGCATTAAGCTTTGCACATTTTCTACAGTCAAACCTCATTTCACAGCATGAAGTCTATAAGCTTGCAGAGGCGAGGGGCTTTGAACAGACCCGATATTCTCCATATTCTCCTCGATGGCCCATCGTACAGAGTCACCGTGAAATCCAGCAGGTGGCTCCATAAATGGAAAATAGCTGAGGTGAGGTGCTTTGAGCAGCCAAACTACGTACTTTGAACTAATCCTTGAGAGCGAGAGATTAACAGACATCACACATGCATTCAGGCACGAATTAAACCGGAAGATAAGAGAAATTCTTAAAATTCTGCCAAGCGTTTTTGTTTTCATTTTGATTCATTCTGGCCAGCTGCAATTCTGAGAAATACAGCCAATTTAAAAGTAGGATGAGGCTTGTGACCTGTTTTTTTTTTTTAAGGGCGAAAAACAGGCTCTTGATGTCACGGTGTCCTTTGAGAGCGGAGAACTTCTGAGGAAATTTGAGATGATTGGGTAAAGAGAAATCAGACGTAACAAACGACACAGAGAGATGGGTTTTCTCTCGGCTTTCTGCCGCGGTAACACACACCCTGTTGTGATATCAAATAAGACCCGTGGGGTCCTGCAAACTAACAGACAGCCAGTCAGATCATAAGCATGTTTTCATAGCACACACTTTCCCTTCCTGGCAGGTGTGTGTCCATCTGTGTGAGTGTCCGTGATGTGTGTCTAAGCGAGCTTTTAACAAGCTGTTCAAAGCGTCACTGTTTAGACTGCAATGGGAGGAAGAGCTCTCTCCTCTCTCATAACACCGCACATGTAGACACACAGCAGGAGTCTCCGGAGAGCAAAAACATGCCTTATTCACAGAACTGAACCCAAAACATGCAGAAAAGCATCTAAACTGCTTTTTCTGAGAAGCTTTCCCAACTCATTTCCTGCTTTTCCACATTAAAAATGCAAAGATATTCTACACAAACACAAAAAACCTGCTGATAAAATGACATAGTTCATCAGCAAGATGAAGGGCTGCAACAATCAGGAACTATTTAGTGTAGATCAAAGCACACTACAATCATGAAACAGCTGAAATATAACGGCTTTAATACCTGCAGGTTCAATGCGCAAGACTGTATATGAGAAAATAACCTTTAAGCGTGTCCTCAGGAAGCAAGCTGAACAGCTTCTCAGTAATATTCAGAGAAAGGAGTCTGGGCAAGGCTCCAACACAGAATAGAGAAATAAAAAAAAATGAACTTCACATTTAGTAGGGCACTTTATGAGGGTCTAAAGTACCTAATTGAAAACAGAGGTCAGCCATAAGGTAAGATCTTGTCCTTTTATAACTCTCTGCAAATGTCTATTATCAATCTTCAGGAGAATATCGCTTCTATTTCTGTCAACAAAAGCAAAAAAAACTCAAATTTACTCTCCTGTCTGGCTTCAAAGACAGCACAGCACCGGTACGAATTTCTATTTAAAGTGCAGTTAAACCGCGGTTTACCACCTCAACCTTTTCTGTGGAAACACTGGTGCTTTCCAGCCAAGTGTACACAATAATCAGTGTTGGTTTTCTGTCTTGCCGCTGTACGCAAACTTTCACCCCGTTTGCTTCCAAAGAAATTGTGTACAAGTTTACAGAGTTACCCAACATATTGAAAGTCTTACCACAAGTGAAGTCGAGTGTCACAACCAGATTAGGTATGTCGGTTCCTATTCTTGTATTAAAGGGAAATCTATTAGCAGAAGTGAAATTAGGGTATTTGTATTTACAGTTTAATACGTGTGTAGCAGGTCCTCTTCCACCGAGCCTACCGTGTTATTTCACCATGCTTCTACAGTTACACAGAATGGACAAACCAAACTCTGGCTCAAGAGAGGGCCTTTTGGATTTTGACATTGAAGTACAACCACTGTAGATTCTCCTACACACTTGGAAAAAACAGGAAACTTGGCTGCGGTTTGCAACGTGACTGCTACATGCCACTAAATCCTTTACACTGCACCTTTAAAAGCCACCTCTTGAAAGAATTCATATCAAAAGAAGAAAATCTGGACTCTTCTTTACCTCAAACTTAAACACACAACCAATACTGTGAGATATCAATACCAAAATGTGGTACTTACGATCTAAGCCGTTGATGTACTTCATGGATATCTCACAATGTCCCCACACAGCGCTGACGATGGGATACAGCTTCTTTCCTTTCAGCCCTCTGAATGCCACTCCTAGATACTGTCCATCCACCATAAAGCTTAGTGTCCCCTCGTCCATGTCCAGTATCACTAGCAGAGAGTCTGGCAAGGTGAACGACTCCTCGGGCTCCAGGAAACAAGGGTAAGAAGGCAGCGAGCTGTGGGCCCGGTTTTTGCTGTCATGGTAGAGCCTATTTCGTCCCAGATCCCAGCCCCAGGACTCACAGTCTGACCCCACTAACGCTGTGTACCCAACAGAATGTAAAGGAGCCTCAGAGGTCGCCACCCCAACCACAGCGTGGGTGCCCCGCTGCCTTGCAGGCCAGTGGATCTTCCACACATGGAGACCCCGAGTGTACCCGACCCGCCCCCGGATGCAGTCCGTGCTCTGAGCGACCGGGTGGCGGTGAAATGTCAACTTATCGTCATCTTTGATAAAGATGTTGAGCGAGCGGTCGTCTGGGTTCCACGCGTGCCGTAGCTGGGTCTCCAGTCCAGCGCATGGCATGTCCAGTAGGAGATCCAGCCTCGGCGGTTTGGAGAAATCTGGGCCCCTCAGCTCCGGGTGCTGCCGACGATGAGCCGTGGGCCGATAGGACGGTGAGCCACCAGTTTCCCCCCGACCATCGACCGACTTAATGCCGCCAGAGATCTTCTGACCCATGGCTACGATGGAAGGGTTGACAGAAGTAAGGGGAAGGAAGGGGGGGAAGGTGGCGTTTGTGCAGGTGGGTGCTGTGCTGCGCGGAGCTCGACGTTACCTCATTAATGCAGCGAAGACAAGGTGAGAGTTCCTAACTGGAGAGTGGTGGAGGGAGATGAAGGAGGAGGAGGTGATGAATGACAGATGTATGTGATCTGGTTTCATGCCACAAATGTCTCCATAAAGACAGAGCTGCTGCCAGTCCTGTTGAGAGAAGAACAAGACAAAAAAAAAAAAAAAAGATTACCATACTTGGTATTAATCCCTTTAACTGTACTTCACAAGTAGTTTTTTTTTTCTTCTCAAACCTCAGAGACACATAGAAAGTACAATAGAAACAAACAGAGATGACAGACAAAGAAGAGAAAAAAAAAGAGTAACTGAAAGAGAAGCACGCGGATGGCAAGTGTTGGCAACACTCCTTGTTTCACAGATTTTGTGTGGCTTTGTTTTCATGGGAATAAACAATGAACAGGATGAACAAGCATATACACACACACTGGCACAAATACACATACATTTCCTCTGACTCATGCTGCATCCTCCCAACCAATTCATGTGCCAATACCAGTGCATGCATGTAACCCTCCAAACATTCCCCAGTTGTGCAACCTGGCACTTTCTCATTTAGGTAATGTAATTTTAATGAGTATTGCCTGAGTCTGCAAAAATATCAACAGTGGGAAAACCAGAGGACCAGGTAATAATTTATCTCCGATCCTTTGTGTAATGGAGCTGAAAAAGTCCGCTTGACGTACGCTGATTCTTACCATCTACTGTGTAGACAGGCGACATAGTTCATATGTAATCGTAATATGTCCACATAAATGTTCATGTACACAACAAACACAAACCCCTGTGAGTAATAACCACATATAACACTGTGGGGCAATTTCTAGAATGTAGTTTCCCTTTTTGATGCCATTTTCAGTGTAATGTCTAAGTTTCCACTGTGTGTGTTCTACTTTTAGTTTAGTTTTTAGTCAGTTTCAGTTTTGGTCTATTTGCTAAACCTGCATATTTGTGTTCTATTTATGGTGGAATTTCAAGTGAATAATATAAATGTTCTTGTAATAGCCTAGTTTATTTTACAAACATGAAAAGAAAATCACACAAATATACAAAATCCAAGTGTGGTGTAGTTGTTTTTAGGTAAACATATATAGTTTTTAAAAATGTGTTCACCTAGTGTTAGATGTGGTCTTGTAGCTCACAACAGTTGACCTTGAAGCCTCATTTAGACACATAAAGCTACAACAAAGATGATCTCACAGACACATATATACACACAGACAGTTCTGTGCAGTTAATCTGACGTAGAGATCTCTTCCAGGAATGGCAGCTGGTGCTTCCTATTGACAGAAAAAGACTCCGTCACACCTCGGGCAGGCCAGGAAGTGGATGACACAACTCTCTACATGTCTGGTTGCTTGTGTTTACTTCACCACATCATAAGAACCCACAAAGAATCCCCCCCTCTTTTTTTTTTAAGTGTACGCTTCTGGTAAGTGTGTCTCACACCTCAATAGGATGATGTTTATGCGTCAGCAGCACTGCACTGTATAGACAAATAATCAAAGCATAAAAGGTCACTAGAGAAGGTCAAAACTCACGACCTCTCAAGACTCACCTATTCAGACTTGCCTACTCCATTTGACCCAGTACTGTGTTTTATTGTTCTGCTTGTTTTTTTTGTTTTTTAATTTATTTGTTTTTTAATTGCATTTGTATTTGTATTTTTTCTGAGTTCCATTGTATGTTGTATTGCTTTTATTGTAAGGCGACCTTGAGTGCCGTGAAAGGCGCCTTATTAAATAAAATGTATTATTATTATTATTTATTATTAAAACACTATTATCATTTATGCTTGTTAATGCAACTCTACTCAGTTTATTGTCTCAATCTCTACTTGAACCATTGTGTTTCTCTAAAATGCAATGTGCAATAAACTTAACATTACCAGTCGGTACACTGTCTTCTTCCTTAAGCAAAGACTGATGACACAAGCACAAATATTCCTACTGAACCACCTCAGCCACCCCATGACAGCAGGCTGAGGTCATGGTGTAATATTGTGTGAAATTCCTATGCCCTTTACACACACACACACACACACACACGCACACACACACACACACACACAAGTTTGTATGGTTATCTCTGAGGGCATTCATAGACATGATGCATCCCCTTGACTAATTCAAATGTGGGCCTTAGCACTCATACAGCTCTTTGAAGGTGAATCGGAAAGGCAAGTACCACCATAACATGTCCTCACTTTACCAAAATGTCCTCACTCCCAAGGTCTAAAACTCAAACTAGTCCTCAGAAAGAAAAAAAAAAAGAAAGCTATTACACAAACACAAGTGTCTCATTTGGACCACGTTCATTTTCCACATTTTCTCTCCCTCTCTCGTTTTTCTCGCTGTGAGTAAAGTCACGGCAGCTGGCAGCGATGCCAACAAATGTGTGCCACTGCTCAGTTCACTCCTCAGCATGAGAGGGTTCAGTGCTCGGGCACACACACACAAACACACACCACAGACAGCTGCCTCAGTGTGTGTCATCACGGCTGGCAGGTGGGTTAAGGGTGGACGCCGCATGGAAGGTTCCAGAGTTGTCCCTGCCAAACTTCAGCCAAAGAAAACACTATTTAACACTGTACAGACTCTCAGCGTGTTCGTATGTGCGTCTCAGCTGGCCCGGTCTGGCACAGCATGTGGATGACAATCTGGCATTATGGGCTGTCATCAAGGAGGCACTTGACCTATGACCACGTGTCGTCACGGTCACCGTTGCGTAGTAACCTCGCAAGAGGCTGGTGGTGGGCTGGCACAGCGTCTGCTGCTGCGAAGAGAGGCAACATGCTTCTGCCATCTGTTGTTTACTTTCCCTCCCTCCCTCCATCTTGCTCATCTTCTACAACTAGACTGCACTCATCCCCTCCTGCCTTTATCTGTACTTTCAGCTGGGCTAGACAGGTATGGAGTGGACAGCAGCTCACATGGTGCCACTCACAGACACGCGCACTTCAATACTAAGTGCAGGTGATTGTACGATTTAGGGCTGCAAGAAACAATTCTTTTCATGAATTATTAATCTGTCAGTACTTTGACTAATTGTGTAACCCTCTGAACCCCAAGCAGTTTCTTTTTTGCTCCTGTCACATTTTTACTCACTGTGGGATCAATTCTGACTGTAATAAGAATTTGTCCACCTCTATGGAAACAGCACAGCCAAGGTTAGAAGCAGACAGAACTCAGAAATGTCTTTTGTGCAGTATGACGCAGTTATAATACAAAAAAGAAAAAAACAAAAGTAGAATTTCTTTGATTACTACACAACCATAACTACGTCAACCTGTACAGCGCTTTTCAAAGTGCTCTTTTATGTTACCAACAGTGGAAAAAGAAAATTATTGGCTTCACATATTTTGGACATTTTCCGACTTATATTTTTATTTTGTTCCGATACTTCTCTCCTATCTCCTATTTGTGAAAACATAGTCTTCAGGTTGGCTGAAAAGTCCCGGAATTTTTGACAAGTGACTGCAGGTCGCAGCTGAGTCACTAATGGTTTCTCGGTTTCACCAAGGAGTGCCAAATTTTTTGTTTTTTACAGAATCTGGTTACTTCCAACGGCTCATTTTTGGACATGTTGTAGAATGATTCTGATGTAATATCCAGATTTTAAGCTTAGATTTGGTTGCTTTTCCAGATAAAACTGAAAGTCACACATGATTAGTTTTTGGAAAGTTGAAGGTTTAACCAATGTTCCAGTTAATACAGCTCTTGGCTTTATAAAATGGTGTAATTTTGGTGATTTTTAAAAGATAACATGCATTTCAGACTTGCTGGCAGGTTTTGGGGTTTAAAGGATTAAACATTTGATGTCAGAAAAAAGTGACACTTACTTTTTGCCCAAAACACTGACAATGTATTCATCCAACCAACAGTCTTTGCATTATGTGACAGAACAAGGAATGCTTTTTAGAACTTCAAATTATTAAAATATTCAATCAATTATCAAACCAGAATGGAACAGGAGGAAAGATGAGGACGGACTGAAAAGGAAATGTCGGGAAATATTTTGGATTGAGACAAGTTCAGCAAGAAAGTTTGTGAATGTAAGACAAAAAGAAACTGACACGCTACAAGTAGAAACTACAGTAAAAGCTTTGTCACAAGTGAAAAAGCATGAGATAAGGCAGACAGACACAGTGTGCACCTGGTGTGTGGGCTGGCTTCATCTGGCTTCTCCTGCTGTACTACTAACAAGCTCCAGTCACCAGAAAGCTTATGAGGGAGGTGTGTGCGTCTGGAAGTGTGTAGCGTTGCATGAGAGGAGGACACTGTGTGTGTGTGTGTGTGAGTGTGTGTGTGTGTGTCTGTCTGTCTGTCTGTCTGTCTCACACGCTGCGTTTCATTTAAAACTGCCCAGAAAGCTCTGACTGGGAACACAAGCTTTGAAGTCACACACACACACACACACACACACACACACACACACACACACACACACAGGGAGGAGAGGAAGCTGCTGAGGAACCACTCACTCATACTGCACCGCCCTCTGACAACAGACCAGAAATTTCTTTGGGCTTTTCCGCAGAAATCCTGTCAAGCTGTCCACAGAATTCAAAGCACTATATGTAAATATGAACCTCTGTTTAGCAGAAACCAAGTTGTCCGTGCAGTGTTGGATATTGTAGTAAATCCTGAACATGTGCAGTCTCTCAGAAGGTCATCTGAGGAAAAGCAGTGACCCATGAGGCCTCAAAGGATGAGGACTAATAGCCTGACAGTCAGTCAGCATTCCCGTTTCTGTGCTCATTCATGAATGTGTAGTCTGGGAGCGTGCACGTGTGTGTGTGTGCATGCCTTTCATCCGAGATCAGCTTGTCCAAAGCGATATCCCAGCCACCTGCAGGCAGTGACAGCAACAGAAACAGCTGTTGTCTCGCACCACTAATGGACACAGTGGACTTCATTAAGTTGGTCACATGCAGTCGCATGTTTGACATTTTGGGAAATATGCGCGTTCTTGCCAAGAAATAAATGAAAAGATCGATACTGCTCACATCTGTCCATTTAGTGTAAGTCTCCAGTCCTCAGCTGGTTATTCGCTTCGATAAAATGTTAATTGGTGAGCTTTAGAGACCAAGCTGACTTAACAGGCCACTGGCTGTATCTTACTATTTATTG